TACCAGTATATACATTGTACTGTACGTATGGCAGTGTTCAGTGTCACTTTGATAATACGGTATCATGGCGCAAGATTATGTATGTGGCATGAAATACAGCTATATATTATCTTGCTAATCTAAGTATTGGCTAACATGCTAACATGAAAATAAATTGGTAGAAGATTGCTACGTATGGAGAATGTAGCCGATAGATTACTTCAGTAACTTTCGTGTCTTCTACGAACTTTGCAATACTGACTTTATGATCTAGTGCATGGTGTAACATTAAAATCAAAATGGCGGCCATGACGAACAGAGGAAAATGAAATTCAAGTGCAAATATTTCGGCAAATAAACTTGGTACAATTTTCTCGTGTAGTCAGATAGGTTGTTGTATAGTCGCTATGGTAACTACCACAGAATTTATTATAATTGTATAGATACGTATCACTAGCTTATCGTTAATACATATTAGCATATGAGTGTGTTTTTTCTTTAAAGTATCCTAATATTGACTAAGGGGTCCGATGACACATGATAAAGCAGTGTTGTTAAAACATTATAAAATCTGTGTTCTGGGAGCGATTTTGGTAAATGATTCAGTATTTATCATTTTAACAGTAAACATGTTAGACACAAGGGAAAAAAACTAAATAAAAAGTATCCCGGCTTAGTTTCGAACCTAAACAGCAAATAATCCGGTAGTAGCTTGCCACTTAAGGAAAAAGTAGGCGATAAATTTCTGGAGTAACTTCAGAGTCAATTTGAAGCTTTGCAATACTGACTCTTCCAAACGCGCAAGCCGTAGCATTTAAAATTTGATGGAGGTCTTGATGGACAGAGGATATATGCATTGGAATTAAATTGCAAATATCCCGGCAGGTGAACCTTGTACATTGTCCCCGAGTGGTCAGATCATGTAATTTACTCAATATATGGATAAGTTGTTCTATAGTCTCTGAGGTCATCAACATAAAAACAGGTATCATTATATACATTCTTAATTAATCATTAGCTTACCAGTAACAAGTATTTATATGTTAATTTATTTTAAATGCCGATATGTCTATTTCCGGTGTTCATAGAAAATTAAGGAAAATGTTAAGTCACGTTTTTGCATTTATATGCAGTATTTGTATAATATCAATCCATTTCCTCAACGTTTGTGACAGACAGACCGCTTTCAATGTCACAGGTGTCAATTCTGTTAAAATCTTTTAATAACATTTTCTCAATAACCACAAAAAACGTGGTGATACAATTTTGCAGGTAGCTTACTGTTCTAAATTGTAATTGAGTGTATTTCAAAATTCTTGTCAGAAAATTCAACTTCCGGTTCACGGTAGTGGTCAAATCTGAAAATTGCTATTTTGGGTAACAAACTTTGATATGTTTCTAGTGTAGAGGCTTGAAATTCCATATAGAGAATGTTGTGGTCGTTATCTACCCCACATTTGTTAATATATATTAAATTGATCTTAAGGTTACAGGTGTCGATTTATAAAAAAAATCTTTAAATGGCTTTGAACCAATAACCAAGAGACACAAGGTGAAAATATCTGTTCAGCTAAGACCAATTACCATCACCAGTGATAGGTAAAAGAATTTTGCTTTGTCAATATCCGGTTTTCGGTATGGGTCAAAATTCAAAGGTGCTATTTTGGGTAACATTTAAGTCATAAGCTATTGGGTTTGATAATATGAATAACCGTGACCTACTTTCCAGGTCATAGTGGTAAATTTTGTTTAATAAAAACGCTGAAAATGACTTCTTCTAAAAACCTACATTTCAGAGGTACAGATAGGTGAAATTGTTTGGTCAGTTGCATACTGAGACCAGTTGTTATCCAAAGATATAAGAAAAAAAATTAGTCAACTTAGTCAACTTCCGGTTTTCGATAGGGGTCAAAAATAAGAAGTTCTGTTTTGGGTAACAAACATTGGAGGTCACAGGAATTAATTTTGTTAAAATCTTTAAATGACCTTCCATTATTCAAGAGGTACAGTGCGGTAAGGTTTGGCCATTGGCATTTTGCGATCAATTACCATTTTCATTAGAAAGGTCGAAATCCGCTTTTTGGAATGAATCACATTAAGATTCGTTTTCAGCACCATAAACAAATAATCTGAACTTATACAGTCAAGGGTCTACATATGTGATATAAAAACTGTTTGAATGATTGCGGAAATTTATTGACCTTTAGGTAAGTGGTCAAATACAGGTGAAAAACCCGTCTAACAATTAACAAATTTGTTATGTCTTTATGTGAAGTTGTATTATTGAAATGTGTAACAATGTTTGTATGTGTAACAATGTTTGTGTGTGTAATGTTTGTATGTGTAACAATGTTTGTGTATGTAACAATGTTTGTGTATGTACCAATGTTTGTGTGTGTAACACTGTTTGTGTATGTAACAATGTTTGTGTGTGTAACAATGTTTGTGTGTGTAACACTGTTTGTGTATGTAACAATGTTTGTATGTGTAACAATGTTTGTATGTGTAACAATGTTTGTGTGTGTAATGTTTGTATGTGTAATAATGTTTGTGTGTGTAACACTGTTTGTGTATGTAACAATGTTTGTGTGTGTAACACTGTTTGTATGTGTAACAATGTTTGTGTGTGTAACGATGTTTGTGTATGTAAAAATGTTTGTGTGTGTAACAATGTTTGTGGGTGTAATGTTTGTGTGTGTAACAATGTTTGTGTGTGTAACGATGTTTGTGTGTTTAACAATGTTTGTGATTCGTAACAATGTTTGTGTTTGTAACAATGTTTGTGTGTGTAACGATGTTTGTGCGTGAAACAAGGTTTGTGTAACAATGTTTGTGTTTGCAACAATGTTTGTGTATGTAACGATGTTTGTACGTGAAACAAGGTTTGTGTAACAATGTTTGTGTTTGTAACAATGTTTGTGTATGGTGCCACTTATAGTGTATATATTGTTATTATTATATTGTTAATAAAAAGTTATAAATAACTGGACAAAAACTGACTTTGTAATTTTTCCGCCAGGTGTTTAGTTTAATATTCAGGTGCCAAAGCTTTGGTGTTCGACCTCGCGGTGTCATTACGTTCACTGCGGGGTGATTTAAATGAGTATTCAATTAATAAAACACACAAACACTATCCATATCTATCTAACACGTCATTTTAAATGTTATTTTATGTAAACATATATCACAATAAACATAGATATATCTTCTTCAAAAAATATATAATGGCTGCTCCTTCATTACGAACACTATTTTGTCGTGTTGTGATGCAGCTCACAGAATTTAGTGACTACATTTGGAGAGTTTAACTCGTTATATTTCTGGTGTTTAAAAGTTATGAGATAAACAATCGTGCCGGTTCTTTATCTTGTTTATCTATCTCGAGTTAGATAAAGATGATAAACAACCGGCACTCGGTGGGAAACTTCCATATATAAAAAATCGAAACATTTTGTTCAACAGGAAATGTATCTATACGAAAGCAACTCTTCAAAAACTTGGGGAATGGTGCATCAAACAGGGTCGCCTCCATTCCCAAGTGATGTCATGTTCACAAGTGAGAACAGCAATGGAACCACCAGTCATGCTTAAGAGTATAAAAACAAGAAGCTATCGACATCTCAACGTAATCCAAACTCCGATCTTAAAAAAATAAGGCAAAATATCAACAAAAGAAAGGTTTATACGGTGACTCCTAAAACGTACAAAAAGAATAAGACCAGGTGTTCCGAAGAGGAAGTGTTTTTTTCGTCATCGACGACAACCGTCGTCATGTAAATCTTGATTTATTAAAGTTAGTAATGTCACATTCTCAAATAAGAATGAGATATACAATAACAAAACCAACAGGCAAACTAATAAACACCAAACAGGTCAGGCTTGTATCGCACTATGGCGACCATAACATCTTATCCATCTACAATGTGATAATGGGAACAGGCCCTTGGATATCGAATCAAATGCGACATGTACACATAATAGGTTGGGGACGCAGGGATGTTGCTATCCAGAAACGGAAATTCACAAGAAGGAAATTAAAATAATCACATTTATCATACAGCTTGATAGAAAGCTGTCCATGCTGATTTTGCTGTAGCAGTCGTTTGTGTCCAATGCCGATGGGTAAATATTATGGACGTTGTCAATAAATTTCGTGATAGGCAAGACGTCATCACTATTTCTGAAAGTGAAATTAAACGACTTGGCAAGGTCTTTGTGACATATTTTGAGTTGCCGATTTCTGAGCTAAACACTTATACGGTAAAAACAAAATATTGTACTGCATTCACTCGTTGATATAATTATTTGAATAATGTATCCGCATCCCAGCTAATGGAATGAGTTATCTGTCCATGCTGCAGAAGCTTTATCCTCAAGTATTTAAATATAATTAACGAAAAATTATCTTGTGAAAATATTTGTTGGTTCTGATAGGAATTTGCTAACGACAAAAATATGTACCCACCATTTTTATTGTGCCTTATATATATATTTCTTCTCGCGACAACACGTTCATAATCATTGTCTTTATTGGTAAGTCAATATTGGAACAATACACGGATAGAACAACATTGAACAGATTATTTTTTAAATGGAAACGTAAATCAAATCACATTTCAATATTCAAAATCCAAAATAGTGATGGAAAAGATGCCAACACATATACAACTTCCAAAAAGTGATTATTTTCCCTTACACACATATAACTACAATGTAACTACATTGTGCGATGTTCTCGTCTACAATACAAGCGATGACCATTTACAATATCCTCGACCACGATTAGTGAAGATATCCAATTGTCGAAAATCTACAGTATCGTAGATACAACAGATGAACTGTTACTTACTTCAAATCTTAGCAATAACCACGTCTGATAACCTACCAACTTGATATTTACTTAACATTGTTAGAACTTTTTGCTTTCCATGCACATCTTTCTGGGCCCTGACTATTTTTGTACACTTATGATGTCTAGTAACAATTATGATTATATAGGATGTTTTATATATACAAAATATTTATTGTTTAAAAGTATACACATATACAGAGTTACTGCTGTAGGCTGGTACAAATAGTTCTGGGAAACCATCGTTGTCCACATCACTATAGGCAATGCCTCCGATTGTTCCGCTGTGCATGTCCAGGAAAATGTCCATTCGGTATGACCAGTCGGAGGAAGACGTATTTACAGGTGAGAATAAATACGCTCGGCTATCATCGTCACCAGATAACAGAATCATCGGTTTGCTAGTAATGTAGTGAAAAAAATGAAAAGATGCATACTGACTGATGAATCACAAAAATCAAATATATAATTCAATTATCATGGTATGAATGCAGATATATTGAACAATAATGATAGATATACATATCAGGTGTTTTCTATTACAGGGAAAACTTTTTCCGTTTCGGACATCATTTTATAAATCATGAACGTTTCCATGGGTTTCCATGTTGATATTTCCTCTCGCTTTACACTCGTTTTATCGGTTTTAAGTTTGACTTGCAGTTTTGTTAATGTATTTTATTGTTAAATTTCAATATTTCAATGCTTACCCAACGGAAGTTGTAGATGACCTAATTATCTGAGCTGAGCCTGGAGCGCCCCCTCCTGGCAGAATGTTGTGGCTGTGGAAATCTGATTTTAACACGTGCCTTGTGAACGTACCGGTTCTGCAATAAGTCGAGCATCACAATGCAAATGAAATATTGAAAAAAAAACACACCAAAAAACATGTGTAAATTGGATTTTTTCCCAAATTTTCTTAAAACATTAGTCGGTGTTTTCACTGCTAACAATGATTTCATTGGACTCTATTCATAGAGAAATGTCAACATTAGCAGAACGTTTCAGCCAGTCAGTATTCTGAGGCCTACCTGGAATTAACATAAAACGAATTAAACACGGTAATAATGTGTATGATAAAGTGTGTATATGTTACACATTTCTGCTATGTAAATGACCCTGATTACTATAAATACCAAACAAATGATCCCTGTCTCTGTAGTGTCAAGGCTGATTTCTACAATATCTACTGTTACCAGGACTTCCAAAACTTATTTTATCCCTATGTAGATGGCCTCTGATTGCGGGACAATGCAGACGTCGAAATTTTCTTTCGTCTTAAACTTCATTAAGAAGAAAATTTATCCCCTTTCATCTATAGTAACTGTAGGAATGATCTTTGTTTTTCCTTTTCCTGTCTTCTCATTTCTGTTGGTGTACTGTATATCTACAACTATGACAAATGGTTTACCTGAAATCAGTTGGAATCTCGTAAATGTAGAGTCCTGTTTGTGAGATCCCGTTAGCTGTCACTAAGAGATCAACTCTACCGTCATCATTCAGGTCAGCCACCTGGACATCAAACACGTGACCTATACTGCTGTCGATTATCCGGGAATGGACCTAAAACATCAATCGAATATCATTGGTTAAATATATTTATTATCCATTAAAGGGAAGTAATAACTCTGTTTAATTGAATAAAGATGCCATTTACTGCTTATTGTTATTTCATGGGAACTTCATTCTCATTGCTACTGTCCAGATTGAGCAAATCGTCTTTGGTCTGTCCCGACAGATATAAATAACCATTGCAACCTTTTATTTTGTTTTGATCTGTAAATGCGTGGACGTCTGTTTTTATCCTCATTGATGTTGTATGGATTTTTTTAAAAATGATTTTGTTGATGTTGCTGCATGTAAACTTAATAACCATTTATTATTAATAATGCACTTTTCTGTGTTGGAGTACCTTGGAGGAGATCTTGATAATCAATGGTAACTGTTCAGGACGGCCCTCCCGGATAGCGATCTGGTGATGACTTGTGTCCCATTTTTTGGACAAAATATTGCGGCGTTGGTATTGTTATCATTTCTGTCTAACCCAGTTTTGAAATCGTGTCTTTACTTATCCCTTGATTTCCGCAGTATAGTTCAATATGTTACTTATCTTCTCTGCAATAACACACCTGTTCGTCATGATGGCCTTGCTTAACTTTAATCCAGGACATGCATGTCATGAAGTGCTTTCCGTTATCACAAATCGGGGCGATGTAAGTGTAATCTATGATTAGTATTGCCTGCAAAGCTTTCTGAGATTCTGATAAAGGACACGTTTGAAACATAGGTTCCGGAATGGAACATACCTTAACATCTTTTTCAATATTTAATCTAATACAATCGTGAAGACAAAAGCGATATCTATATAATTAGTGAAACAATGCTGAACATTTCCTCACCATGTCGAGATTACTCCAATTGCTGCCAGTCGTCCAGTAGATTTTCAGTTTGTTCGAAAAATATCCTGTCGTTATTATACACGGCAACATCCCGTCAGGCGACGAAAGTGACGTAATGTCAAAAAAGGTATCAGAATCTTCACCGATGACATGAACTGTCCACGGGTATAAAAAGTTGTCCCGAAACAATGTGGGATGTTCATACCAAACAAGTTGACCACTTGATCCCCCTGCATAAATGTTCGTGTTAAAGGATAATTTTTCATTTGATTTTTATAACCTCACAACTGGAAGGCTACAGATAACACTGATTGGCAGATAATGAATATGAAAGATTCATTAACTGTTGAAAATCGAAATTCCAATATTTCATTCTAGGTTATATTTCTTATATAATTTGAAATTGATTTTGAAAAAAAAAGTATTAAACAATCCATATTGCAAAAACTTAATAATATCTGTCTGGAGAAATTGCTGGTTTAAAAGATGAACTTCCGAATGTCAGATGCGTTATTATTAAATTGGCGCATAAATTGCAAATATTGGCCATAACATCGTCTTGTAAGGTTTTGTTCAAATGTTTACAATGAATACATACAACGATACATCAAAACAGGCAGTATAAAGGGACACGGTATGAGGGCAGGCTATCAGTATGTACAGCAAAAGTTTAGGTTCCTTTGATATTTATGACCAAATAATACTATTAAAACTAGCTAATGTATGAGATGGCAAAAATGAAAGCAGTTTGTTTATAATAGGTAAATATTTTTGATAAAACGTGATATTTAAAGTTAAAGTTGAATTTTGAAACCTGGGGAAACACTTACCAAATACTGACGTTTTTGCACGGCATGTAACGGCATCTTTAGCTCCATCACCATTCATATCCACCCACTTTACGCGGTGATAAAACCAATCGTGGTCAGAATGGCCTGTAGTAATCTCGTAAGGTCCCTTCATAGTGTCTCCGGATGTATTAAACAGAGTTATCGTTCCTTTCGTTTTGAATGGTACGAGAAATCCTCCCGCCACCGACACCATTGAACTGCCGAACACGTCATCTATGAAAATCAGAATGTGCTTTGATTGAAACGAATTTCCTTTCTTATATTTTTCTCAACGTCAAAACACATTTACGCAATAACGGAAATCTTTGGAATATGTTCAGTTCATGAATGTGAATGAAGTGACCATTCCATTTAAAGTGCCTAATTCTGATTTCGGATCCTCTATCAAAACGTTTGAAACAGGACATTTTCCAAAGAAACATTTGTTTGCAGTTGAACTTAATTTGAGTACAGGGGCAACCTTCAGAGATCACCTCGCCATTAATTTCATTTTGGCGCAGTAATCTTATATTACAAAACACTTGAACCCATATACAATTTGAGAGAAATTGTCAAAATTGTCAAATACCAGTGCAAGATCCAATTCTTTTATCCAGCTTGATAACCTGCCATTACTTTATGAAAAGAGACATATGCAACACTTTTTAGTTGTAGCATATCAATAGCAAGGTATTTTATATATGCTTTGAGAATGCCCACCTTTTGTCGTCTGTTCCACCAATTATAACAATCAGAGAATATGTTGTACAAAGCATAGATATGAAAACTCCATACTTGTCTTACACGGAAGAAGAAATAGTCAGTATCGTGTATTTCTTAGATCAACTATTGTATTTGTTCCCTCCATTGGGCCAAGAGACCGGTGTCGTGGACAATTTTCTATATTATTCCAAAAGGTTAATTGTATTTAGATGTCCCTAATAATAAGTTTCAAGTTTTACAGAGCATTCACTAATACCTGTCACTAATAGACAATGGGCGAATCACAACAGATGAAGGGGATTTTGATCATTCTGTTTCATAAACCAACTCAAGGCGGTAGTTACAAATTTATTGCTGGGCGCAACGTTTTCACAAAACAGCCTCTTAACATCTCGGAAAAAACTTTTTTAAAAGATATTTTCGTGTCGTGTACAAAACACCACTAAATGCATTGGTATATTGTGGTATGAAGAGTGCCATGTATTAGGTATTCATAAATACGTATGGATAAAGAAAACCAAGATTGATAGAAAATCTATAACGATTACTATATTTGTATCAATAGGGATTGAAATACTTTTCCAAATTAAGAAGAAATGATTATAAATTGATTAAACACTAAATTGTGCAACAATATTTTGCTGGCTGAATTGACAATATATTTTTTTCAATCAAAAATTCATCAGCGTATTCTTACCTGGTACCACATTGACTTCATTTGGCCATGTAATAGTTGTTGTAATTAACTCTGGTTGTACGGCGGACAGACTATCAAAATGAGTCCGCACATCCGTAACACGATAGATGTGGTCTGTTGAGAAAGGGACTCCGTTGAAGCTGGATATTAAAAGAGAATACCCTGTACTATTCGTTGAACTGACCACTGTAACATATCCAGGCTGGTTGACGTGGAACGACCCCAGAAGCCTCGGAAGTCCGCTACTTTTAACATAGCTTAAGATAAAACATAGCAATATACACAATGGTAACTGAGACGAGTTGTAAGACATGTTTGTTCGTTGAAGGTTGTCTGGTTTATAATCGACAGTCCAAGGTAGATATGTTTTTTTCACAGAGATAAGATTTAAGTAACTTTATCACTTATGTACAATGTAAACTGACAAGAGGACATGCCACATGGTATTTACAAGTGGGAAGCAATAATAAAATTAGGAAAATTGACCTTTATATATTGTTGACATATGTGACTGACACTGACAAGATAAGATAGTTTGTAGAAGGAGCCACACGTGTTTCCAGTTGGTGTCACAAACAAACGTTTGGTTAGCTTGTCACCCTGACTTAAATTCTCTTAGCTATGCAATTATAGTCTCTGTCGGCTAATTATAAATGAATGGGGGTTAATCAGAAGTTGTCCATTAAATTTAGAAACAATTGACGGACGCAGTAAAAAAAGCGCACAATGTGGGTTTTCATAAGTACCTACACTTGTTCAGAAACGCTTAACTCTCGGTGTTTTGTAACATCAATCCCGAATGTGTGGTCCTCGTGATGCTTTCGTTGTCACGTGCGTGGCCACAAGACCACATTTACATAATAACGTATTTACATTATTTAAATGAAAATTGTCAATTTATTTTAATTTATTTTTATTTTCTTTGTTGGTTACTTCTGAATTAATTGCACTTTTTAAAACATATATTTAAAATGACACAAAACGCGTTATGTTTGAATATCTGCAAAAATACAATTTTTCAAAATGTGAATATAAGAAAAGGCTCTGTTATTGTTGTTTACTAGTGTAAAAAATGTTTTTTGCAGTTATTGTGTATAAGAGGCAATTTGAATTCAGACTATCAAACCTACGAAAATGATTTTAGGTTGTTAAAGTATAAAAAGTTCAAATACAGCATTTTTGCAACAGCTTTAAGGGAATCAAATTTTCACTGAAAAAACATGTTTTGAGGACATTGTAATTATGCCACTAAGTAAGGTCTTCTCCTAAACAACAACAGTTAATGCTTACATGATGCTTAACGTCTTATTAGCAGCTATGAACATTTAAGGGTAGAGATAATATCTCCAGGAGTCACGGAGACAGAAGTTTCAATTTCGTTTATTTCATTTATCATTAATAACCATGAGACTTCAATATATTTTATTTATTTTCATTTCATATTAATTCACATGGCAGAAAAAAATATTTTTCCACTGGACACACAGTCCACGAACATCTTGTCCAGTACGATTTCTGCTAGTCCGTTTAGGTCCGGACATATTCTCTCTTAAACCTTCGTGCAGTTTGCTTGGGATAATAGCCGGTATTAGCGCCATTTTTGTGAAAACTCCCACGGCTCAAATTCGCCATTGCTGCCTGAAAAGAAATCCTATACATATCATTTTATGACTTCAACAATTCTTAAGTCGCTATACAGCGTAGTAAGAATCCAATTATTTAGTGTATCTAAATGTAATTTACTCCGCTGCATGTCACGGACTCGTTCATTTCATATTAACTAATCTTTAATGCATTCTTCCAACATATAGCCAAACTTCCAATTACACCTGTATATGTTAATTAATCCCACCAAAATATATACCATCGCTCTCGATTTGGATTTGTAACTTTGTGTTTATTGTATGTTCTATGTAGATGAAGTAATTTATGTAATATTTGTGTCTTGATAAAGGTGCAGGATGCCTCGAAAATTTGACGATTCGCTTGTCCGTACTGTCGCTATTACTTCAATGATCATATATCTATTCCAGTGATAAACAAGTGTACCGTCGATATTACTTAAAAAATTCTCTGCTCTTTTAATATGTTTTTTTTAAAACCAATAACACCAAATCAATTGAGTATGAATGAAATGTAGTCTCCTTTCTTTTTCTATGACGGATACTTTCTGTTTGTTGATAATGGCTATTAAAGTATATCAAAATAGAGATAGGTCTCCAGGACAGGCTGGCGTACACCATTAAACATTTGTCAAATCAGAACACGAACGTCACTGCTGTGTTTCCGATGCCATACTACATCTACACATCAAATGTCACTTAAATCGGACAATATCTAAATTTCGATGAATCAGAAGCCTTGATTTGGCAAACAGTTTGGTAACAAAGTCATTTTGTATAATACTTTCTTGGAGAGTATTCTGTTGTTTTAAGTTCCACCAATTCTCGTCTCGATGCGGTGAAAAGAAGAACAATTAAAGGTAAAAAGATGTTAGCAAATAGAAGCCAGAAAATGGCCGCTAGGTTGCCAAATCTAAAACTAAAACATGTTTGCTCATCTGGAGGCCGTCAGTATTAATCCCGCAAAGTTTGATGAAGATCTAACTTACAGTTATGGAGAAAGGCGTCGGAAACATTTGAGTATGAAGATACTAAGGGCCTAGATTTTAAAAAGTAGGAGGCGATCGAGGAAAACCGTAAGTGAGCGAAAGAAATATCATTTGTGATATAGATGAAGGGGTGTACTAGATATGGCACAATTAACAACAAAATTATATATCACCTTCGCTTCTTCGATCAGGCCTTGATTCGGATGTCCGATATCAAGATTTTCCCCAACTGAAAAAAAAGAATACAGGTATATCAAATTTCTGTTAATGGTATTAAAGGGCGATAACTCTATTATCTTCTTTCCTTTTTATATAGATCACATGGGACAGCTTAGGTCATTAACAACTCCAAAGATACACAAGGATGTGACCTAAGATAACAACAGGCAACAAAATACCAACATGTCAACATAATCATAACCCAAACTCAAGTTCAATAAAATTAGAACAGAAACAACAAAATACCAACATGACAACATAATCATAATCCAAACTCACATTCAATAAAACTAGGACAGAAACAACAAAATACCAACATGTCAACATAATCATAACCCGAACTTAAGTTCAATCAAACTAGGGGAACATATTAACTTAAGAAAGATTTACAAGGAGAAAATGACTAGGTGAAGAGTAAGCGTATTCTGCTTCATCAACGACACCGCCATGTAAACTTTGGTCAATACAAATAAGTAATGTCACGTTCTCAAATGAGAACAAGGTATACAAAAGAACCCACAAGCAAACTAACGAGCATCAAACACGTCCAGTTACATATCGCCGTATTTATTTGTTTTCAATGGTTAATTGTCACGATTCAATTTTAATCAGGCACGGTTTTATTTTATAATTATTTTGTTTTATGTGTAATCAAAGAGCGTTATAATGCCAATTATAAAGGAATGAAATTATAGACAACGAAAACTTTTGGTATTCATTGGGGATACTAGCAGTTTATAAACATAATACATCTTACGTCATGTCATGTTTTTGTTTATAATTCCCTCGTGAAGCAAAGGCACATTTTACTATGAGACTAATTTCAGATTAAAATAATTTTGCTTTTCCCAATCTTATCTACGCATTATATTAGTCATAACATAAGCAATGATAGATTCAAGACAACAAAATCACAAATTATGCGTAAGAAAACTTGATCTTCAGAACAAAGTTCCAAATTATT